CCTGACTCTTAAAGCCCCTATTCCAAGGGTCAGTGTCACTCTCCTGGGGTTAGGCATCTGGAAGTGAGTGTTCTACCTTAGGATGAAGTATCCCCCACCTCTGTCTACTTCTCACAGTCTTTCCCTGGTAAAGGCTTCTCTGGGAGGCCTGCTCTATGGGACATCTTCGTTTAATTTGGTTTGTTTGAACAAAAAGATGTTCACAGAATGCTCGAGGAAAGATCCTTGTACCCTTTCCTTGATTGGAGTTACAGACGTGGCAGGAGGAAAAGAATTATGTGGGAAGACCTTGCCTCTGACCTGCTGCTGTCCTGAGGGTTTTGTACTCGTGGGCACGTCTGCAGTGTACCCAGATGGTTCTGCTAGTCTGAGAGTCGATGGAATGCCGCAGTGGGAAGAAGCCAACAGCAAGAACACCACCACAGATGCAGTTTATTGGGACACAAGCTTTCGAAAGCAGTCACCCTGCCATTGTAGAACCTCATCTTCTAGAGCTGCAATTCCAGGGAGAGGGAGTAGCCAGGCACAGGATTCGTGGATTCCTGAGAAATCTTCCAGGGATGGGCACTAGACATGCTTGCTAAGGTCCCTTCCATATCTGTCATGGCTGCCAGCGTCACTCTTCTGTAAGACAGGTTTGACCATATCATTTCCTCTGCTGAGAAACTTCTGGCTGTTTAGCACTCACACTATGGCAGCAGATCATTGCTCTCTGAGCTCTGACCTGTGAAAGTGTTCCCCATAGACACTGCCACATCTATCCATTGCTGTCCATGTCCCCTCTTCTAAGGAGGGCTCATATTTCTCCCATCATCTGAACTACCCTTTCTTGTTTGGCAGACTTTGGGCCTCCTTTAAGCTCTCCCTTAGATGTTCTCCACTCGAAAACAACTTCCCACCTCCTCCAGCAAAGTAACGAACCCTCTCTTTGCTTCCATAGAATTTAGTAGAAATGTGTGCAAATCACAGAACGGTAGTACACATCTCTTTCCTTGACTTGGTCATGTTTACCATTGTATCTCAACTCTAGCACATGTCTGTGTAACGTGGAAGTCACTCAAATAGATCGAGGGTCCCATTTCTTCGTCTTCCTATCAGGATTATCTATTTTCTTGGAAGAGTTAAACCTTTTTTGGGGGGGTCGGTAGAGGAAGACTGTGACTACTGGTCAGTCACAGTCCTGAACGTGTAAGTCAGGTCATGCTACTTGCTTCTCTTGAGCCCCTTGCTGCTGTCTTGGATAGGGGAGGGCTTTAAATAGTATAACTAGTTGTCCTGCTGCTATTTGGCTCTAACTCATTTTTCTTGAGATTACCTAGATTTCTGTCTGCAGAGGACAATGCAACACAGTCTGCCCTAGCAAAGTCCACTGGGAAGTTGTCAGCTTTCTTCCTGGAGAACTCTTTATTTTATTTTAACTTTTTTTTGTACTGGGGATGGAACTTGGGACCTTGCCCTTGTGGGGCAGGTGGCGGCACCACTGAGCTAAGTCCCCGGCCCTTTGGACAACTCTTGATAGGTTTATACTCACTTTGAAAACAGGAGATTTGCAGACATGACCACATCCGTTGCGGCAGCACTTCTGTTCACCAGGGCATGACTGATCTCCTGAGCAAGCTTCAGCACAAATCCCAAATTGTCCTCTAGGCACCTCAGGGCAGTCACCAGGTTTTTGTTGTTCTGAAATATGCAGTTGAGTTTTGAAACCAAGAGAGATGAGAATGGATGCTGAATGTCTGAAGCCCTCGTGACTGCCTGGACTCCAGCTGTTTTCTCCTTTGTGCCCCTGGACGCTTCACTCATTTCACTCGCTCCATTGTCAGTATAACCCCCCCCATCACCATCTAGCCCTTAGGAGAATGTACTCCCTGTGGTTCTCCAAAGCCTACAGAGTCTCAGTAGGAAAGAAACCTGCACGGTCACCCTCCCTCTTTTGTACCTCAGGACAAAACATTATGAAATCTCTGATCGCAGACAGACAGACAGGTCCTGGTGTACCTCGTGCTCAGCCTGGAGTGACTGCTCTGGGAATGCCACATCCAGGTCACATCTCCTTACCGGGGGAGTAACTCTGCCCTCTACCCCCAAATTCTCTCAGATGCACCTCACTATGATAAGGCTTGGAAATGTAGGGTTCCACCCTTGTAAGTCAAAGGAACTGAGTCTGATTTAAGCAGTGGGTATATGCCCTGTGTCTTCGCCATGTGTCTCCAAGACTAGGGCTCAGCTCTGAGCCTTCTCTGCTCTCTGGAGTACCCACCCTAACCATACTCACTTTTGTGAACAGGTAGCCGTGCATAGGCTATGTCCATTCCCATGGCAACAAAAGCCACCAGAACCAAGACTGTGCTTATCTTCATTTTGGCCTCTGCTGTGTTGTGTACTCAGAACAATTTATACCCCTAGTGTTTCCAGAAAGAAGGGTGGAGCAGGAGGCAGGAGAACAGCAAGAAAATGAGAACAAGCTTCCCAGGGACACTCCCCAGATTCCTTTATTCTATTTCCCAACCGGTTTGTCTCTTAGCATAGTTTTATTTCTCGGCAGATGCAAATGCAAATTTGAATACTATGAGATAGTATTCAAGAACATCTTTCTGTGGCAATTATCCTTTGTCCCCAAAGGATTAGAAACTTGACCAAGTTGAGTCCATAATTAAAATAATCCTGCCCAGCATTTACCAATTAGATAATGCATCAACACTGATCAAAACAACACGAGATTAAAAATAAATCTTTCTCTCACTGAAAAGGGACCTTGTGTGAGGCTGACCTCGTCAGCCTACTGCTTTTGTGGTAGGATAGAAAAAATAAAAACTAGGTAGAGGGAAGAAGGAAATTGAGATTTGGGGTTTGACTTTTAAGAGACACTGAGGCTTCAAGACAAGCCTTTTTCACTTCCAGGAAACTCACTCAAAAAAATTCCTAAATGTCCTTTTACAATAAGTTAGGGCTCTTAACCTGATCTTTTAACCTGTGAATTGTGCTTCCTCCATCCTCAGGAAGCAGCAACATTGGTGGGCAACAGATCTGAACCTCAAACACTTGATGACTTGCGCTGCAACCTGACAGTGAGAACACACACCCTAGATCACCCATCTTGAAGACATTCCTTCAGTGTACCCACTCTGGCTTGTAATGTGTTGAACTTCTCTGAGCACTAAACTCTGTTCACTGAGTGCATCCTAATAAACCCTTCTCACATATCTCTTCACTGATGCATCCTGAAAATTCTTTGTCTGCAATGGGAGTCCTTGAACCTACAAACTTATCTTAAAAGGATGTCATTGGTTCCTTATTTCAGGCTTTAGGACCTCTCAGAGCCAGCCCAGGGACACTTTGATATGGAACTTTACTTGCAATGCAGATTTTCCTGGAAGATTAATAAGGAATAGTGTGCCTGGGGAAAATGGATTTCTGAACAATCCCATCAACTGAAAACACTGGCCCCTGTGGTATGTCTTACTGCAAAGTGACCCGGACCCTTAGTGGTTGGTCCTGGCACCACAGTTTCCTTCAGCTGGGTTTTTGTAATTCAAGGGCATGTTAAGACTTCAAGGTTTGTCAACCTTAGCCGAAAGGTAACATCTTTACTCTTCTTTCTCTCTTATTCTGGTGCAAAGATAATTTATTGTACAAGGTTACTTGGAAGTCTGCTATTCAACCAGCCTCAATTAAAATGTAAATGTTAACTCTGACATAAAAATAAACTACTGATATAACTCAGTGGCACTGCAACTGCCTTGCAAGCGCAAGGTCCTGAGTTCGATCCCCAGTACCAAAAGAAAGAAAGAACCAGGAATATTTTAATATTCAAATGGCTAGAAAACTTGTAATATAAACCATTAAGTACAAAAGAAGAGATATTTAAAAAGACATGGGCATGCAAATCCTTATGATAAAAAGAATATTGGATGCTAAAATGTTGTCCTACCAGAATGATCAAAAAGAAATGGGGGTGGGGTGGGGGGAAGAGTACACAGAGAGTAAAAAAAAAAAGAAGTAATTAAGGAAAGAAATTTTCAAAGGGAGAAGAGGAAAAATAGAGAAATAAACGAAAAAGAGATTAGAAAAATGGCTGAAGGACAGAGGATGAAAACACACACACACACACACACACACACACACACACACACAAAGACAAGAAGAAAGCACAACAAAGACCTAAAAATCATGTTCACACTTACTACAAACAAACAAAAGAGAATTTGTAAAACCCCAACAATAACAAAAATGCAAAAGCAAAGAAAATAAAACAAATTTCTCTGTGATTTCAAGCCTGTGGTAATCTTCTGGGGCCTACAGTTTTGGGGCAGTGTCCAATTCAAGGCATGTCTCTGCTCTCTCTGGGAGGCAAGGGAGACAGACAGAGGCCAGGTATGTCCTGGGCAATCAGCAGAGAGCCAGCAGTAAGATCAGGGCAGGGTACTGGTTCTAGGACTCTCAGATCCTTGGAAATTCAGGCTGCACCTGGCCTCTGGTCATGGAGGTGAGGCCTGAGTAGCTTTAGCTGGGTGTCTCTTGCTGGCCTGACCATGGCTCCCTGACCATGGCGATTGTTCCTTACCCAGTCACTGCGGGAGTTTAACACCGGGAGCTCAGAGATGAAGCCAGCGTGCAGCTGCTCTGAGTCCTATGTTCAGTTGGCCATTCCTTAGAATGGTGTCCTATCAAGCACTCTGTTAACGAGACATGAGAGACATTGAGGCTGGAGTCACTCACCAGCTGTTGTAGCACAACATCCACTGCTACGGTTCCACTGTTGCATTTCTCCCTGCAGGCCACCGGAGTTGGCCTGATTTCAATGTGTCTCTGTAGATTCACTCTTCCTTTCTCACAGGAGCCAAGAGCCTTGAGCCAGAAGCCAGAGAAAAAGGTGCAGATTACCCTTTCCCTTTTTCTGCTTTATGATCTGTCTCTTCAATTTCTCTGCAGACTCCAGTTTTCCTGTCAGATCCTTCCTGGGTCCCAGGGATCCACCTCCCTCCTTCTTTTCTTCCCTAAGTTATTATTTTCCAGTGTTTGGATTCTGAGCCTTGGAGAGGCTGATTCGTTGCTGGATACTGTTCTGACCTTCCGGGAGGTTTCTTTTCTTCCCTAAGTTATTATTTTCCAGTGTTTGGATTCTGAGCCTTGGAGAGGCTGATTCGTTGCTGGATACTGTTCTGCCACCTTCCGGGAAGAGGCCTGGTGACTGAGCACTCTTTGCTTTTGTTCTTCTATTTCCTGCCACTTTCTAGAGGCCATCAAATCTCTTAATCAACTCATAAATGAGTGGTAGCACTTATTCTTTCCTTCTGGGGAAGGGAATTGGAAGCTTTGGGAGATAAGAAGGAGACTTACTTTTTTGTGGTATATCTTTTTATGCCTTTTGAATTTTATATAATGGTCATAATCACTGTTACCCTCCAGCTGGTGGTGACTTTCTCAGCCCAGAAAGAATTACATGGTAGAGTCAAAAGAGGACTGAGAAAAAGTAGAGCTAACACAGAAAGCAGCATTTCTTGTACAGCAGAAGCAAAAAGCTCCCAGGTAAATGAATCTGGAAGGGGGCCCAAAAATGTTTGCCAAAGGGATTATTTTGTCTCGGAGTTTTTATATACAAACATGAATACAACTCATCCAAATTGAAAGCAACCCAGGGGATTAAAATCAAGAAAGTTTGACCTATACAAGGCCTGTAGAAGCTCAGGGTGTGTAGCAGGTGTGCTTTTGCAAGCACTCTTAATTGTAGCTGTAAACAGCCAACGCAATGAGAACTTTGTTTAATGAGTGTCTAAGTGTCCCGGCATAGGTATTGGCACATCCTTCACTAAATCTTTCTGACTTCCTCTTTGGCTTGGCCTCCTTCAGGTGCTGTGGCTGGCTGTTCCCTCTGTGGGCTTCCCTTTGGCAAAACATTCCTCACACTGTCTTCCCTTCATGGGCCAGTAACCCCCTGAAAAATCCTTTCATCTTGCCACAGGGTCCTGCTAGTCCTCAACATTTTTTAATACATATCATGTTTTACAGAAACTAATCATTTAGGTTACTGGTCAGTTAGGGAAATGTTAGATAATAGGATTTAAGCACAACCACACCAGCATGGAGGGCTTGTGGAACATTCTCCTCAAGCCTCCTGTTATCTCCCTGCTTCGATTCTTAATTCAAAAATTCTTAATTACAAGAGCATTGAATAATTGATATCCCACTACTTGAAGGGTGTTCACCAGTCAGGAATTTCCGATGCCCAGTGAGACACTGGAATCCCCAGACTTCATCCTGAGTCATAGATACAACTGCCTCTTCCATAGCCAGCCTGAAAGATTCAAGGATTCACTCTGTTCAACAAGTAATAGGGAAGAAGAAGACACACACTTCCAACTTCCAAAATGAAGGAGATACAGAAAGGCAGGATGGAAGGGAGAGAGGTTAGCAATTCCAAGTTAGACATATACGAAGATCATAGAATAAGAATAGCTAAAGTAGATCAAATGAACCTGCAAAAATCACAGCTGAGAAAGGTAAAACAAAAACAGCATCCCCACTGTGTGGCCTCTCAGAGGCTCTGTTTTCTCATCTTTAAAATATGAACATAATATTTGCTTGAGATTTTGCAAGTATTAAAGAAGTGTATATGTAAAACTCACACAGTATAGTCCCTGTCACAATGAGGGGCCCACTCAAGGCTGTTACCCCTCTCCTTCCAGGTCGTAGCAGAAGGAAAATGTGACCAATTTAAGGAGATGAGCCAGGAATCACTGTAAAGAACTACTCCTCCTGGCTTGTATAAGCCTTTTAATCATGAGAGAGCCCTGTCTGCTTTGCTGTTTTCAGAATTTCTTGCAGGAACGCATGAGGGCATTTACCAACCAGACAGTCACGGAACTCCTCATGGCAGTGTCCTGGACACTGCAGCAGAGGGCAGAAGCCCCCACCCACCGCTACCCCTGTCCATATCCAGGTTTAGGCCCAACCTTCTCCCCTTTGTCAGCTTGAAGCAGCTCCAGAAGAAGAGGCCTTTGCCCAGTAACCATAAACAAAAAGCCTGGAATGTTACATTTCCCTTGCCTTAAGATGGCTGCCACATGGGATAGCAGCCTCCATGTTAAAATCTAACTTTTCCCAACAAAGGTCAGGCTGCTTCTTCCCATCATGCCTCTTCTCCCACCAAAAGAGTAAGCTGATACTTGCTACCTCCTAGCAGCTAGTGATGTCACAAGCCCCTCCTAGTGATCTCACAGGCTCCTCCAATCTCTTAATACTACCTCACTCAACTCCACTCCAGTTCGGGCTAACCCCACCCCACTCCTAGAGAACAATCTCTCTGTTCTGCCATTTTGCTTTTCTCTCCTTTGTTAGGAGACAGCCTGGCAAATCCTCTCCATAATAAAGGCTTCTTACAGTCCTGGTGTGGTCAGGTCTGGTCCTGGTTTTCAGCTTTTTAAAAAATCTAACAAGGAGCCCAGGGATACAGCTGGAGTTAACACAGCCTGCGGAAATATTTTCCCTATCCGTTTCTCTCAGTTGGGAGGTTTCCATGGAAGGGGATGGCTCCCCATATCATCTTGTTATGGTCAAATCTGTGTTTCCTGAAATTTAAAAAATTTTTTTCTTTTCTACATTTGCCATACATCTCAAAATGAAATTATTTGCATAGTAGAAAAATGCATTTACAATTGTGTCTCTCCATTCCTCTGATTGGCTATTGTCTCAGCAGGCGATGTTTAGAAGAAAGAACAGGTTGGGACAAGTGAGAAGAGTGGAAGCCCTTTAGGTGCCCTGAGGGTCAATGCGGGGTGAAGCTCAGGACTATGATGTGGTGGTTGGTCTCAGCCATCAGGAATAAATGAGATTTTACTCTTTTCATTATCTTCAGATCACCTCACTTCTGTGGTCCTTGCCTCTATTTGCTCAGCTGTGGGCCTCTCAGGAGGAAAACACCCACGTATGTGGCACTGTTATGGAAGCTTCTAGGATGAGGGGGATAGGAGGAGAAGGACAGACAGTTTCCAAGGAATGACACAAGAGGAAACGACTCTCTCTCACGTAGAGAGTGAAATGTGGAAGCAAGGCACTGCCAGGCGCAGAGAAACATGGGACTGCAATCTCCAGTTGCTCCTGAAATCATAGCTCCCTTAAGTGTCTCGCCTCATGTTTTCCTGACTCTAGCCTCCACCCTGAAACCTAGAGAAACCTCAGTTGGAAAATCAAGCAAGCAGATGCCAGGGTACAAAAAGGAAGTAGCATGACAAGATGAGAAAGTAGAAACCAACGCCTCACATTGTGCAAGAGGTGAAGTCCCACATTGCCTCACTGCAAGGATTCTGTGATTTGTTTATTAATTCCTGGGTGAAAAATGCTTCCTTCAGGAGACTGTCCAAGTTCCCGAAGCCTTCTGCATCATCCCACCTCTGTGGAACTGATCTCCTTCCATCCAATTTGCCCAAGGGCAGGGAGGCACTGGAGAAAGGAATTCACTGTGAAGGAGGAGACCATATTCTGGTTCTAACTTTATAGTCTCATTAAGGATAAAACCACACACACGTGGTGGGTCTAATTTAGCCTTCCCCTGGCAAATAAGGAGATGGACTCTCTTCCATCTAGAACCTAAGATCTTCTGTATCAGTCACCTTTCTACTGTGGGTACAACATACATGACTTACACAACTAAAAGAATGAAAGGTATAATTTCGCTCAGAGTTTAAGAGGTTTCAGTCCATAGTCAGCAGGTTCCACAGCAGAAATATCATGGCAAAAGGGCAAAGCAGAAGAAAGCTGCTCACTTCATGACATTCAGGAAGTAGGGGTTTGAAAAAGCTAAAGAGTTGTGGTGAGGGGAGGGAGAAGGAGCAGGGCACAAGGTATTCTTTTCAAAGAACACACCCCATCATCTATGTTTTCCAACAAGATCTAATCTTTTAACAGCCGATTCAGCTAATAAACTCACCAATGCATTAATGCATTGATGATGATACCATCTTCATAATCCGGTCTCCTCTCTAGGCCACACATCTGAACATTGTTGCCCTGTGGATCAACTGCTCAATGCACGAATCCTTGGAGAACACTTTACAATGGAACCATAACACCCAGCAGGCCATGGGAGTCTCAAGAA